TCTATGAGAAACTGAGTGAAGAGTGAAAGAGAGAAGACGCAAGCATGTCCGACCTTCCAATTAGTGGTACTCACTACTAGATTGACCTGTTTGTATAACTGTACCATATTTCATATTGTACTGGTTGTGTACAATAAACATTTCTTTTATTATCCACCTGGTGTTAAGTATTTCTTCCCTAAGCACAGAATATAACAATTATAAAATCTTAGAATCCATATAAACTTATAAAATCATTAGAATTAATTATAATCTTATAAAATCTTAAAATCCATATAACCTTATAAAATCTTAGAATTTGTATTTCCTTAAAAAATCATTAGAATTCATATAACATTATAAAATCTTAGGATCCATATAATCTTATAAAATCTTAAAATCCACATAACCTTGTAAAATCATTAAAATTCATATAATCTTATAAAATCTTAAAATCCACATAACCTTATAAAATCATTAAAATTCATATAATCTTATAAAATCTTAGAATCCATATAATCGTATAAAATCTAAAAATTCATATAACCTTATAAAATCTTAGAATTTGTATAACCTTATAAAGTCATTAGAATTTGTATAATCGTATAAAATCTTAGTATCCACATAATCTTATAAAATCTTAAAATCCATATAACCTTATAAAATCTTAGAATCCATATAATCTTATAAAATCTTAGAATTTGTATAATCTTATAAAATCATTAAAATTCATATAATCTTATAAAATCTTAAAATCCACATAACCTTATAAAATCATTAAAATCCATATAAGCTTATAAAATCTAAAAATTCATATAACCTTATAAAATCTTAGAATTTGTATAACCTTATAAAGTCATTAGAATTTGTATAATCGTATAAAATCTTAGTATCCACATAATCTTATAAAATCTTAAAATCTATATAACCTTATAAAATCTTAGAATCCATATAATCTTATAAAATCATTAAAATTCATATAATCTTATAAAATCTTAAAATCCACATAACCTTATAAAATCTTAGAATCCATATAATCTTACAAAATTTACAAATAAGTTAACTCAGAAAACAAAAGCAAGAAAGAATGTTTTAATTCTGGTATCTTCTAAAAATCTTGCATCTGTTTTCCATATTCAATCATTTTGTCACTGATAAGTGATTATATTATTCTATTAAGAAAGAATGAAGGATAAAACTGCAATTTACTGAATAAATTTGGTATCAAAGCAATTCATATTTCTATCAGTAGGTGTCCAGGGTTGAAGATAAATATTATAATTCTGTATTATTTTGTATAAATTGGATTAAAAATTCTGCTTTTAGTGAGAAAAAGGGAATATTCCACCTAGGAGTCCTTAGCATTAGCAGACTAATTTGACTAATTAACACTGAAATAGAAGTGTGTAACCCTTGGTGTGTCAATCCTTATCAGCAATCACCAGTTATGTCATCCAGTCATTGATCCTCAAGTTCCTTCAGATCACTGTAGTTACCATTGAGCTGACTCTTCACCCATTAGCGCATGAATTGTTTTGTTGCTGGTATCATGATTGCGGCACAGTTTCATTGACTTAGCTGGTATTTGTCTCTTCAGGACCATTCACTCCTCTTGCGTTTTTGATGATGAAGCAAACTTGGAGTGAAGATGGTTTAATTCTTTGGGAGCTGCACAAAACAAGAATCCTTTGGAATAAAGAATTAACTCTGGTTAAAAGTGTAACAATGATTTGGTTTATGTATGATTTTTATACCGTAGTTTTAACCGTTCCCACTTATTGTTATGATCAAATGACACTGGGATCCACTTCAGCTTGTCTTATATTTCTAAGTTCTGTTTTTCATGTCCAGAACAAGGTCTTTGGTCAGGAGGTCTCGGCAAATGATGCTGATTGTGGTAGCAGTGGTTTTGGGACTCTCTGTGTGTGTCTCTCTTCTTTGTTCTCTGAGTTCAAAATCTCCAGCTTATATGGAGTCCTGCATTTGGCAGGGGTGTGGTTGTCTAGGGTCTAGATTTAGTTGTCTTCTATCCTAAGCATCGACCTTTTCTAAATTTTCATATATAAAAAATACATTTACTCAAGTGGTTGTCCAAATTTGGGTTTATCCAGCCCCCTTTAGAGGGTGGTCAGGGGGATCCACTACTCCTTAACAGCAATTCTCTTTACACTTCACTTCAGCTCCATAAAGGTGGTGCTAATCTTTCTCTCTTCCTTCTCTTTCCTTTTCCTTCCTTCTCAGTAGACCTCAGTCTACTTCCTGGGCTGAAGTGACAAATCCAATTTCCAGATGTCACAGTGAAAACAAAATGGATTTTCAGTCATTAATCCTTATTTATCAGCCTGCCCCATGCTGGGGATCTCTCGATCGACCATTCAAATCAAGAACTGGGGAAGAAAAGAAAAATCTATTTCCACTCCCCCTTAAAACAAAAGTTTATCTTTTCTCTATCTTATGCATTTTTTCTTTACAATCAAACAGACCACCCAGCCTTCTTGTCTATGGTCACTTCAAAATAGTAATAAATTTTCTTTACCACTTGTATCCAATAGAATCCAAATTAATGTTTGGATATAAAATTTTCTCTGGATGAATGTCACCAAAATTATAATGATGAATGCATCCAGTCAGTCTCTATTTCTGTGGGCATACTTTTCATCTGGATGGCTGATTCAAAACAGATTTTTTTTTCTTTGTCCAGAGGCATTGTGAATGTTATTTCGGTGACTACCCAGATTTCTTTATTGACAACATTTTTATTTTATCTGACATCTTCGTGGATACCTTAATGGTTTCTTTCTTATTAGCGGGAAGTACTTTTGGGTTTGCTCAAACTTAGTTAATCTTGGGCTCCATTCTCCTTAGAATTATCTCATTACAGGGTTTTCCAGTGCATTTCATTTTTAATTTTCTTCTCACCTTTTCAATCCTCTTTCCTGCAATTTCAACAATTACATTCAGTTAGTAGATTCTCTCCACTTCCTTCTTTCATTCTTTTTCTTTGATCAACCTCTGGAATTGTGTAAAAGACAAAGTGGAGTTTAAAAGATGGCAATAAGTCTCCTAAGGTGAAGTGGAACATTTTTAAAATGGCAATTACATGTAGATCTTTATATGAGCCCTGTTTTCTGTGCTTACATGAAAAATTGGAAAATATCAGATTAAATAACAATTTCTTATTAAATTAAAGGAATGAATTAACAGTAAATTGTAAACATAGTTTACCTTTTATCTTACAATTTAGTTAAACTTTGGAATTTGATTATGCTTTTTTTAAATTCTAGCTGTACTGCACTGTACTCTATATGGCTTATCTTTCTGTTTGTAAGATTAATTTGGATTTAATATAATTTTGTTTTAATCTGGTAGTATTAGTAACATCTTGTATGGATGTATTGGTATTTGCTTAGTATTTTTGACATTTTACATTGATTGGTTATTGTTACTAGCATCTTATATGAAGAATCTTTATTCAACAGTTGCATATTAATTTAGCAAATAATTCTATACATTTAAATTATTTACTAGTTTCTTAAAGAAGTTATTTATTTATCAACTATAAAAAAAATTATTTAGTAAACTCACAAAGCATATAACTTGTTTAGCACTTTGTTAAATTACCTCTCCACCCCATTTTTATTTCTTAGGAAATGGCATTGTCTAGTTTGTATAATTTATGTATCCATTTACATCCACTCTAGTTTATGCCTGGGTGCCGTTAGCTGCCAATCTAAGAGTCATGACCCATTTATAAAAAATAGTTTTTTAATTTTTGCTTTGTTTAAATTTAACGTAAGTCATATTTGATTAGTTGATCATTGTAAAGCCTACACACCTTATAAACCCCCATCATTTTTTTGTTTTTGATATGTTTTTGGTGTAATATCCTTATATATATATATATCTATATATATCTATATATATATATATATATATATATATATATATACTAACTACTTAGGTTTCACATAAATGGATCTTCAGGGTAACTGGCTGAAAAAGAAGATTATGGAACAGTAGTATTGTTAAAACCAAAAATAACCATGACCACATGACAAAAATAAAAAAAAAAAAGACAAACAATGGTTTTCCAAATGAGTACCACTATATATATATATATATATATATATATATATATATATATATATAATTATTATTATTTGTTTGTTCCTTTTGCTACATAAGAGTTCTCATGTTTCAAAAACAAGAGCCAAAAACCTCAATATAATTATTGAAATTAAAGTATCAAGCCCTGTTTAGTGAAACAGTGCTTGATACTTTAATTCAATTTAATTTCAATAATTATATTGAGGTTTTTGGCTCTTGTTTTTTTGAACATGAGAACTTTTATGTAGCAAAGGAATCATATTTTTTTAAAAATAATTATAATTTAAGCTCTACTTCTGTATGGAGCACTGTTTTTTAAGAATAAAAACAAAAATACTAAAGAACCCTGGATTATTTTCCTAACATGTTCTTTCCTTTTTTTTCTACATATTTACACACACACACACATATATATATATATATATATATATATATATATATATATATATAAAATTAAAAGTGGTCATTGAGGTCAACACCCAGCAGCAACTGTCAGTTTCATGCTTAAACACAATCTTTACCAAACAATTGCATGAATTAGAAGCATCAATATGCAGATTTCGGAGTGAACAAAGTCTGCATGTGGTGGTGATATTTTGGCAAGCCAGTTGACATGCATCGTTCTGATCATTTCCCTCTTAAGCTTTCTCCTAGAAACAGTCCTATGATTACCATCCCTCATAAAATAAAGCAAGAAACAAATAAAAAATGATCTGTAGTAGACATCATTAGGGTTTGAAGAACTGAGCCAGTAACAAAATGAAATGCAACATTTCAAAACAGATAAATTAATTGACTCTCTCGAAATTTCAGGCATCATTTACTATGAGTTAATTCATTTATTTATTCATTTTAATTCTTAGATTTATTTATTTTAATAATAATACTGATTTTATTTTTTTTTTTAATTTCAGTTGGTCTTTCAGTTCATGAATGCCCAGATTGATACTCGATCTCTTGACTATCATGTGAGCCTGGCTCAAACCATCCTGGGACTGTGTATTGACCACCCTCAGTTGCAAAATGAACTCTACTGCCAGTTGGTACGACAAACATCACGTCATCCTGTACAGAGCAAGATGGGTGGAGTACAGGTAAGGAGGTCTAGCTCAACATCACTTTATTGCTGATTTACATAAATGAGTGTCTTTGTCTTGATTGTTATTGTCACAATTTTTCGGCAAGTGTATTTACCATCTTTTTTCAGGTGAATTGTATTTGGTAATCTTTACAGAATTACTAGTATCATCTAGTAATCCATTTGAACTAGTGTCCATATCTTAGATAAAATATCTGACCTTTTTATGTCCTTGTCAGAGTAAACTCCTGGGAATTTAAGCTTGAACAATTTATTTGATCTACAAATAATAGCAGCAAAGATGAGGATATTAGACCAAGTGTAAATAATGGTAACTGCTTATGTCAGAAATTCAAACAGGAATTCTTAAATCATCTTTATTGTTCTGTTATGTCTTTCAAAGGCTCTTCACCCATCTCAACTCAGTAAATAACCAGGTGCCGTCAGCTTTCAGGTTGGGTTAGGAATAATGGCTTGAAATTGTTAATCAAAGATTTGTTCTCCAATTCGCGTTGGGCTTGTTATATCCACTTACTCACAAATACCCTTAGGAAAAGATATGGATCCATCTCTTCTCTCTCCAGCTATAGGTGAATTACTAAAACTTTTGTCATCAAACCATTATCTCAAAAAATAAAGTTTTACACTATAATACTATTTTATGGCTTTAAATTACCTGCAAAGGGTTGATAAGCCGTAGAAAATGAATCAATGAAATACTGATTAGCTACACAGGCATGTCTTTTAGATTTATTTACATTCTCTGGGATATAAATGTATAGAAACTATCATGGCCTCAAAATGAGAGATTAGTTTATATATTGATTGTAATATAGAATTGATCCCCCACTTTATATCCACATTATAATTTTGTGTTTGTCTATCAGATTATATTAGTTATAAATTCACCTATTCTTCCCCCCCAGTTATAGTAAGACATATATCACTAAATCATTAGATTAAAATTTCTTACAATCTAAAATATTTTTTGCCTTTAAATAACTTGCAAAGTGTTGATAAACCATAGAAAATAAGTCGGTCAATCAACTCAGTAAATAGAACTGAGGCTGAGATTTTGAAGGTCGTCCTTTATCTAGCTATGATTTTCTTAGTTTTTGTCATTGTCATAAATCCATTTTTCATCAGTCTTTTGTCCCTTTTGTTCTGATGGCCATTTTCTGTATGGGACAAAAAGAGAAAAACAAATGCTGACTGAAGTTAATATTAAAACCATGTTTTGAATGATGCTTCTCTTGTTCAAAAAAAACTTTTCTTTTACATTTTTTGCCTTAAGCAATGGTATACTCTGCTTCAAATTAGATCCCTTTCTGATCCACTTTACATGTCAGTCAAATGTGAATGCTAAGAAAGAAAACCCTGAAATAAAAAAGTCATCCTTTGCACAGGGGCTGTGAGTATCACATCCAGTCTACAAAACAAATCCCCTCAAACATAAATATAAAGTACAACATAAAAGAAGCGAATCATAAATTTTGCCACCAAATAAAATATATGTGAAAAAGATGATGGGGGTGGGGGCACCACATTTGCTTTAAGAAAGCCACCAATAAATGACAGATTCAGATTTGTAGTGAACATCAAGCTTGAATAATCTTCTCCAGACCTCTCTTGACATCACCACTCTGACCTTGGTCAACCAACCCAACAAACACATCAATATCAAGTCCACCCTCCTTCAAATTGCTACACCTTGCTCATATAGACATTCCACTCCTATCCACTGTATCATCAGTACAAAAGAATTTTATATACACATTTCATGTTTTTTCACCTCGCTAGTACTACTGTTGTTTCATTTGTTCTTCCATGTTTCCATATGTGAATTATAACTGCAAGTAGAGAAAGTGAGGTATTTAAATACTGACTAATGTTGCTATTTTTTTTTTAAAGTTTGCAAATGATGTATGACCATTAACTGATTTCAAAAGCAACAGCAATGACACTTATAAGATTTCCCTAACACTGTTTAAAAGAATGTTCTGAGAACTTTTGCATCCAATAAAGGGTCATTTATTTTTTTTTCAAAAATTGGCTCAATATTATTTTTTGATTGTCATAAGACAAGTTAACTCAGATGCATGATGAGGAAAGAAGGCCTGGAAAATTTAACACTAAAAGGATATATTGAAGAGAAGAGAAGCAGGGAGAAACAGTAAGCTACCAACTTAATGAGATTGCATTATTGGATGTGTAAGGTCAAAGACAGATTGTAAAAGAGGAATGGTAAAGGGATTTCAAAACTTCTTATAATATCATGCCTCATCAATAACTAGATGGGTGACTGCTTTGGAATACCAGGTGCTGTAGGCTTGGATGTGTGGGTGGTGTAATGGATAATGGCTCAGAAGTGTTAATTGGAGTGTTCCAATTCAGATGTGTTATATTCATTTATGCACAAATAGTCTTAGGAAGGGTATGAATCCACCTCTTCTCCCCTAAGCTATGGGTTAATTAGTACTCATATCAACTAAATCACTTATCTCAAAAAATAAAAAATACAATCTAAAAATATTTTCTGGCTTAAAATAACCTGCAATAGGTTGATAAACTGTAAAAAATGAATGAATCAATCAAAACTTCTTGTCTTTTGTTGCTTTAAGAAAGCAGGAAAAGACTAAGTTGTGAAGAAAGAGAATCACCCACATCGTGAAGGGTCATGGGAGATAAAAGAAGAAGAATATTTATCCAAATGTTGTAGACTGTCCGTACTTGTATCTAATCTAGGTTGTAATATTAAAAACACTTAATGGCCATATCGTGTTCAAAAACTGGTTCTGGTATAATCACTAAAGATATTCTCATTTGATCTGAGTCACTAGCTAGATGGGTGACCACTAGAGAATATCAAGTGCTGTAAGCTTGGATGTGTGGGTGGTGTAATGGATAATGGTTTGGAATTGTTACTTGGAGAGTCAAATTTCAATACCAGTTGAATTCATTATATCCACTTATCCACAAATACCCTTATAAAGGGTATGAATCCACCAGTTTCTTAGTTAATTAGTAGAACTTGTATCAGTAAAAAATCATAATTATCTCAAAAAATTTCCTACTATGTAAAAATGCATTCTGGCATTAAATAACCTGCAAAAGGTTGTAAATTAATCATGTAATATTAAAAATAAATAGGATACAATGGGTGCTCACAGATAATGGTGTTCTGTGTTAACCTCAATTGAAGTCAGTGGTAACCATTAAATTCAACAAAACACATTGAAAATGGATGAATTCAATTAACTGGTATTTTTATAAACCCAAAATGATGTGACGAGTAAATACAGGCTGCAATGGGTAAATTTTCACTATTTCATATTTTTGATTTTGTATCTGTCTATATTTCTGAGATGAGGTATTATGTACACTATTTACTTTATTCAGACTATTGTCCTCATCTTTATCGCCATATTTATTAGTAATAAATTTCTGACATGAGGTATTATGTATACTATTTACATTATTCGGACAATTGTCCTCATATTTGTTGCCATATTTATTACTAATAAATATGGTGACAAAAATGAGGACAAAGTCCGAATAATGTAAATAGTGTATATAATACCTCATCTCAGAAATATAGACAGATACGGAAAGGCCGAAACGTTGTAATAAAAATGGTGACAAATATGAGGACAATAGTCTAAATAATGTAAATAGTGCACATAATACCTCATCTCAGTAATATAGACAGATGCTGAAAGGCCCAAAAATTGTAATAAATATGGTGACAAAGATGAGGACAATAGTATGAATAATGTAAATAGTGTTTTAATTTTGTGTATGTTCATTGTTTTTGATTTTGTTGACTGCACAATATAACAGGGTCAGTTGGGCACTGTCTGTGAGAAAAAAAAAGCTTCATGACATAATTCACTCTGCCAGAAATTTGGAAACAGTATACTGTACTGCTTGGCATTCATGTTGGAAGGTCCCGTAATGTTCCAGAGTGTTTGGGTGTCAATCTGAGGACAGTGCAGAAGATTCAGAAAGATTTGGATGAGTCCAATTGTGATTATGATGGTATGGCAGCTTGTAAAAACTCACTCTGATCATTCTGATAAGGAAAGAACTCAGGCTCAACACAGAGGCCTTGAGGAGGTAGTGCTGCTCTGGGTCAAGAGGGTGGCTGCTGGAAGACCTTATGTCTGGCAGCAGGATTCTGCACTATGCAAAACAAATAGGAGAACCCAGTCATGGCTGTCAGAAAATTTCTGCAACCACATCACCCCTTATACCTGGCCACCTAACTCCTAGGACTGTATCATCCCTGATTGTTATGTGTGGGACACAAATAAATGAGAGACCAACAAAATTCCTTGTAATATCAAAGATGAACTAAATGCAAGGTTTATGGCAGTATTTGCCAACATAATGAGACTGCACAAAAGAGATGCAAGAGATTTCAAAGTCAAAGTTGAAGCCAGTGGTGATTCTATTGAATAAATTTACTCTTTAGTATTTCAAGATATTGTTGTGTAATTTTGGTAAATATATCTGTCAAAATGAGATGTCAGTGTTATTTTCAATTTTCCCTAATTTAGACGACAATTTATTCATTGGACCCTGTATATGATATGACATTATATCCATGTTACCTCAAGTGTCCAAGGCAAGTAAACACCATCCGCACACAAAAAAATAAACTGAGACATTAAATGATTATGGTAAGTCATGTACATTTTATTGATGGAAAGACCATCCACTATTGTTTTTTTTTTTTTACCTTTTTTGATTTTTTGCTTTTTTTGTTTAGTAGTCTATCCAGAGAGTTGTTTTTCATGAAGACAAAATGGTGGATAGAATCAGAACTAATTAACTTCTCTCTTTAAAAAAAAAAAAAAAAAAAATCAACATTCTTCAGTTTGGTACGTTTTGGTGTAACTGTTTGGGCTTGGTTGTTTGGGTGCCAAAACTATATTGGTGCCTGCCCATACTAATATTTGGAAACAGGAAAACTAGCTCTCTCTCTCTCCCTGTTTAGCTGTTTGCTCAGGATGC